GTGCGGCCCGGTGCACTGTACTGGGTCGCCGCCGCAGCTCTCGGTCGCGAAGATCTCCTCAAGGGCACGCAACCAAAACGAATGCGGCCTTGAGCTGGCCATCATGTCGTTGCTCACCAGCCAGGTGGACCCCCTCCTCTCGAGGAAAACAGCGTGCACAACATTCTCCTCGCCCACCAGTACTCCCGCACGCACGTCATGCGCCACGTCCTGGAGCTCGTCGAGTGGCCGCACCGCCTGCACGACGATGTCATCGTAGATACCACCCTGAATACACAGCACCGCTATGCGAGCGACATCCGCCTGCTGGACAACAGATATGCGATCGTAGCGGCCCAGGTGCCGAGGAAGTTTCGCCTTGACTAGGTCGTAGTTGCGCACGTCATCCCAAAGTTCAAATGTCCAGTCTGGGTGAAGCCTCCACCAGGACGCCACGTATACTCGACCATCTTTGCTGGCAGCCTGGTGGTCTTCCAAGTCTGGTGGAGGATGCGCGGGATGTGCCACGCGGTCCTTGGGGCGTCTTCCCCAGAGCTGCCTGATAATTTCCGGCGTCCCAACGCAGACTTGAGAGCGCGGTTTCTGTTTTCGAATTCAAACCGCAAACCTTTCCACTAGGCGCTGTACGGGTTTCTTGAGACAGTATACTGGGCAACGTCGAGGTAGCCGTGGTAGTAGAAATCGCGGTCGTATTAGTGGCCACGGAGTGGGCGTGTCGTCAGGTCCTTTACCCAATGCTCTGAGCCTCAGTCATCAGTCTGAGGAGTCTTTAATGGGCCAGGGGCCCAAACTGCGAAATCTGGCGGGGCTTGTCGCTTGCCCCTTGGGCTCAAAGATCGTTCCAAGACGCCCAAGATGGCCTCCATATGGCCCAAGAAGTTTCCGAGACGCCCCAAGAGGCCTCCAAGAGGCCTCCCAGAAAGCATACATCATTGATGTTCCAAGACCACGCCAAAACGACCCAGAAGGCCTCCAAGAGTGCTCCAAGACGGCCTGAGAGCGCCCCAAGACGGCCCAAGAGGCGCCCAAGACGGCCCCAAAAGGCCCAGACGAACCGAACATCCGAGCCTTCCGTTCCAAGAGGCCCCCAGGAGGCCCCAACAGGCGCCCAGGATGCCCCAAGAGACCCCCAAGAGGCCCCAAAGAGGCCCCCAGCGGCCGCCAAAAAGCCTCAAAGAGGCCCCAAGAGGCACCAACACAGCTCTTTAAGAGGCCTCCAAACTGCCTCCAAGAGACACCTGAGATGCCTCCCACCAATAGGCCTCATACCCACAACCCAGGAACGGTGGCCAGATGGGCCGAAGGCTATTTGATTGTACTCGTCGCAGAATGGCTCGTCGCGCTCGCTCAGGATTTCTTAGTGTTCGACCAGGGCCGCGCTCAGCTCGCCCAGACGCGCAAACAGTGCGCAGATGACGTCGGCCTGCGCGAGCGCGTCGGACCGCAGCCTGGCCACTCCCTCGCGCAGATGCACAGACTCTCCGGGGGCGTCGCTGCACTGCCGCAGGAACCACAACTGCTTCAAGACCTCGTACCTGATGCGCGAGAGCCACGAAGGCTGCGACAACTCCTGGCCAGCCCCTCTGAGGGCGACACACACGTGCCGACGTCTGCTGCAGACGAGCCGAGAGAGCGGCCACCGAGCGGCGCGCCGACCAAACGCGGCCTGATCCTGAGCCGACTGGATCAAAAAGTGTGCCAAGCCTGATCCCGAGGACAAGGAGGATGAAAGAGGAGGAGGAGGAGGAGGAGGAGGAGGAAGGAGGAGGGAGGGGAGGGAGGGAGGGAGGGAGGGGGGGAGGGAGGGAGGGAGGATGAGAAGGAGGAGGAGGAGCAGGGGGGGTGAGGGAGGAGCAGGGGGAGGAGGAGGATGCGAGCGAGCGACTGGGGCTGGCAAAAAGCCAACCCCGTCTCCGAACGTGATCCATTTCGGGGGCGGGCGCCTGGGGAAGGGAAGGAGGCGAGGGGGGGGGGACGGGGGACGCCCGAAGAGGAGAGGACCATCATCAGAAAGGGAGACCATCAAAAACGATCGAATGATACCGGAGAGAAACCCAATCAAAGTCTTTTTAAGGCTATAGGGCTATGGGGCTATACGGCGATGGGGCAATAGGGCTATGGAACTATATGGCTACAGGACTAGAGGGCTATAGGGCTGAAAGGCTGTAGAACTATTGGGCTCTACGGCGGTAGGGCTGTAGGGCTATAAGGCTACACGGTTGTTGGGCGATAAGGCTATAGGACTATTGGGCTATTGGGCTATGGGGCTATAGGGCTATCGGAGGTTGGGGGGTGAGTCCGACGAGAAACGGAGACACCCCCTACTGGGAAATCGATTTCGGTTTCGGTTTCGTGCCGTGCGTGCCGTGCGTGCGTGCGGGCGAGGCGAAGCTGCGTAGGCGGGCGAGAAGACATCCTCCTGTGTCTGGGCCGCGGCGGGACCAAATGTTTCTCCTCCGGCGGCCGGTGGCCCGCGGTGTCCCGCCGGTATCCCGCTGGTGTCCCGAAATCCTCCTGTGGCTGGGCCGCGGCCGGACCAAATGATGCTCCTCCCGTCAACGGTGGCCCGCGGTGTCCCGCCGGTGTCCCGCCGTGGGTTGCGCATTCCAAAACATCGCCGCTTGCGGCGAGCTACCCAATGCAAGTCTGCATGCAAAGTGACATGCAGACTGAAAACCATATCGAAATGCAAACCGATTTCCACATCCAAATGCAAGTCGTAAGGCGCCGTGGGCGCCGCGGTGATTCGACCACGTCGACTAGCGCTGAGGTGAGGTTCGCGCGATTGATAAGCGCACGCGCGCACAGCGCTTCACGACAATGTCGAACCCTCACTTCGCCAACAGCGCCACATCACATCAAGCGCACGTGCAAAATCACACTACTCACTAGACTCCGCACCACAGGCATCGTCAGAAAAACAATCACCACTTTTGCCCATTTCTGCCCCCCCCAACCTCCTTATCACCCGCAGGAAGGTCGCATAGATAGGGCTGTAAGGCTATAGGGCTATAGGGCTATAGGGGTATAAGGATATAGGGCTATAAGGCACCCGGGCACCAAGGCACCCCGGGCACCTGGGCACCTGAGCACCCGGGCATCCGGGCGGGCCGCGGAAATCGGTGTCACACCTCACCTAACCATGCGAATCCGCTAGGACCCCTACAGAGGCAAGCTCTGATTGGGGAATACTTCGAAATCAAGGAAAGCTACCATCGAAAACTCCTAAAACGATCCAACGAAAATTACGATCGAAAATGATGGGGAACCTTCAGGAACCGACGAAAACGCTCCCAGGGATCATCAAATGATGCACCTGCTGGGAAAAAAAAACATGGTGGGCTCCACGCGAAAAGAGGCCTTGAATAATCGACCAACAACCCCCAGAGATGCCTGCGGCGACGGCCAAAGAAGCCAGCGCATTTGGGCCAGGCGGGCGACATCTGAAGGGCACATCACGGAGTCTCGGCGCCAACCTGCCAAGGCATGTGGGCCGGGCGGGCGGGCTCTCAAAGGCGTCTCTGCGCTGCTGGCACCTCTCGGCAGGGCAGGCACGCCCGCCAAGACGGATCGGCAGGGATCTTGAGTGCGAAGGTATCACGACCCGGCCAGTCTGTCGATTGGGGAGAAGACGAATCGGTATCTCCTCGATGTTCCTCGTCCCTCCTCCCCGGACGCGTCTCGGCCTCTGCCCCCACCATCCTCGCACTGCCCTGGGGGCTCCTGCCGACGGGTTCCTGAAGCCCACGTGGGCACGACCGAGGAACAACAAAAACAAAAACAGGCACCGCTGTAGCGCCGCTTCTCAACCGCCACGGGCCGCACGTGGTCCAGGACCTCGGAGTGCTCGTCGAGCAAGCAGGCGGGTATGCAGCGGTCGTGCTCGCCGTGCCCCCACCAGACAGGCAGGGCCTTCACGCAGGCACGCGGACAAGGATGATGGCATGCATGGATGAGGCCGATGGTGCCGATTGGGAAAAAGAGAAGTCTTGCCATCTCAATCCCCAGACAGCTTCAGGTGCCAATGAGGGAGCATGACGCGAGCGCTCATAGTATACTCTCCGTTCGAAGAGATATCCCCAATCATTAGGTCTATCACGAGCTGGGTCCAAGCAGACGACGCTGTGCATCTCCTGAACCAGAGCATTTATACAACCTCCTGGCTGGTCAAACACCTGGGTCTGACGCCTAATATGGTGAGTGCGCGCGCGAGGAAGAGGGTGCACATCTAAGCACACCGCCGCACTCTGGGAGAGGGTAAGATGTCTCCCGAAAGAGCATGGGCTCCCGTAGCCCATGGACGAGCACGATCAGACATTCCGCAGGAAGCAATCGTGTCGCACACTCTTCCTCCGTCGATCCTCGAGGCCACTAAGGTGACCCAGGGCCTCCGTAAGTCCCTCCTGGGCCGTCGGGTGATAAGAAATCTGCTCGCGGGCAGATCTGCGGGATGCGATGTGCTGACTGTGTCTGCGGGCGGCGCCGCATCGCCGAAGCCTCGCAGATGGGGCCCCCGGAGGCAGACTCCCCGCCCCCCTCGCCTCCCCGCCCTCGTCCTCGGCCTGCCCCCCATGGCCCTCCCCCTATCCCCCTCCCCGCCCTCGTCCTCCTCGCCCTCTTTCTCCTTTCCCCCCGCCCCTTCGCCCCCTCCCTGCCCTCCCAGCCCTTGTCCTCCCGCTCCTGCTCCAGCTGCCCCTTGTCAGGGCAAAGTGCAGGTCCCTCCTGCTGCAGCTGCTGCCGCCGCTACCGCCATTCGCTGCCGCTCTCCCCTCCTCCTCCTCGTCCTCCTCCTCCTCCTCCTCCTCCTCCTCCTCCTCCTCCTCCTGTTCCTGTTCCTCCTTCATTTCCTTGTCATGTTCCTGCTTGCCCTCCTGCTTGCCCTCCTTTGCCATCCTCCGCCTCCACCACCTCCTCCTCATCCTGCTTGCCCTCCTCCTCCCTTTGCTTCCTGGTTCCCGGTGGCTGGAAAGACCGTCTTTCGTAGCCTCCCCTCCTCCGCTCCCTCCTACCGCTTGGCAACCACACCCTCCTGCTGCTCCGTCCCCCGCCTCCTCTGTCCTCCCCCCCTTGTCCCCCCCGCTTCGCCTCGTGCCAGACACCTTCCTCTTGCAGCCAGGCTGGCTGATACTATCAGAAGGCGCACCGGCTGAGAAGCGAGGCTCCTCCCTGACCCCAAGATCACCATGGGTGCACGAAGAGCGCTATAGGGACGACCATGGAGGAAGCTCAGGAGCAGCGAGCCCCTTGCGGACCCGAAGCGTTCCGTATCTCAGCGTCTGGACTGCACGCACGTTCCGAAACACTGGCCCCCTCGCATCTTCACCACTACGGTCGACCACAACACCGTCAGCAGCAAGGGCAGGGGCACTGAGAGAAACGAGTCCTGGACCCCAGGGGCCTTGCCCAGGACACATTCTCATCCGAAGTCGTGCGTGGCAGGCCTTGGCACCCAAGAACTAAGGAAAACAAAACATCGGGGCCCGTCTCGCGGCAATGCTCCCGCCCCGCTCCCTCCGATCAAACAGGTTGGACTGCATCCCGGGACCAGATTGCTGTCGTGGACCCACGCGCCGCTCTGCACCTTCTCGGCGGTAGGGTAACTCAGCCACCCGCCGTAGATGGCGCAGCCTCCCCGTCCCCTTTCCGTTGTTCCTCGCCCTCCTCGGCAGCAGTCGCTTGTCTTCTCCACCCCATCCTTCCTGCTCCTCGTCGTCGCCGGCGCCCTCCTTCCCCGCGAACCGCACCGATTGGACCGCAACGAATCCTGCGGGGGTGCTATAGCTGAGTCAACGGCGCTTCTCCCGCCTGGCCCGGGTCCTCTCAAGGTCGGCCCCTGGGCCACTCGCGGTGTCCGCTTTAAGACGCAGCTTCTCTTTTTTGTTGTTGTTGTTTTTTGTGTTGTTGTTGTTCCATATGTTGTTGTGTTTTTTGTTTTTGCAGAAGCAGCTTCTCTGTCTTGTACTCTGGCGAGTCTGCTTGCACGGAGGGTGGGGGGGGGGGGGGGCGTCGAGGCCCGAAGGGGAACGCTGGGGCTCACTCGCACGCCACTTCGGCCCAGCGTTGACTGACAGCGCGGCGGAGGGGGAGAGAGAGGGGGGGGGAAGGGGGGGGGAGGAATGCCATGCCAAGTAAGCTTGCCCGGGTCTCACGTCAAGCGCCCTCCAAGATCGGTCCCTGATCACTCGCGGTGTACATCCCAGCCCGGTGTTTCGAGGCGGACTGAGCCGTTGCGACGAGAAGCCTCCAGGGGGCCCAAAAAGGACGACAAACGCCAGTGAGGCTAGCGTTGTCTCGACTGGCCCTCCTCCGAGGCGTGCCCCTCCCCCTTCAGTGGTAACTCATGGGAGCCTCCCGTACCATCTTGCTGGCTCTCTCGAATCGACGATGACCGACGCGAATCGGCGTCAAATCGACGCTGAACAAGGCGCTTCCTCATCGATTACCAGACGCTACCGCACGCTGATGCACTCTGTAGACAGAACTGCGAGGACAACCAACGCTCCCGTGAGTTGCTACAGTCGGGGCGTTGACCTAAGGAACCCTGATCAAGGAACGAGGCCCCTTTCTCCCGTAAGTTAACTTTCGATTTCCCATGGAGAACCTCGGGGAAACCTGAGGCAAACTGTTAAACAATCCAGAAACACCGAGCCCCTCCCCAACGAAAGGGGCTCCTTCTTCAGCGCCCCGACTGTACCGAACCCTCTGCCCCCAGGGCCGGCCCTTCCTGCGAGGCGCCGCGGAAACGAGAGCGCCGCGAGGAGCGCCACGGCGCCGCCCTGCGAGAAGCCCCCCAACACCACCCTGGGACCCAGCGGTGCGACAGCCGACCACCCTTGCTGGTCCGGGCTGGGCAGTCTCCCTGCAGATTCTGGCGAGTTTACTGGCATCGAGGGGGGGGCGGGGGGGCGTGGAGAGACCCGAGAAGAACTCTGGACTTCACGCAAGCTGGGACTCGCTCGCATGCCCTCTCGGCCTAGCGACGGGAGAGGGGGGGGGGGAATGCCATACAAGTAAACTTGCCTGAGTCTCAAGAGAAACAGCTTCCTGGCTGGCTGGCTATTTCCAGCCTCTGGGGGTCTGAGGGCCCTCGCCGGGCCCAGACCTTTTGGGGGTCGACGCCGTGAATAGCTCACGACGTCGGTCCTGGAGGCCGCCCGAACATGGGTCCCGAAGAGATGGGGTCGGACAACCGTGCAGCATCGGTGATGCACGAGCGATGTCGAGCTGCGGATCCCGCCGCATCGCGGATGCATCGGCGACGCGATGCGATTCTCCGACCCAGCCTACTCTGGCCTCGTTTGGGCCGCTGGAATCCTGGGCCCAGGATCGGTGTCTGGGCCCCCTTGGCCTGGCCGCGGAGGCGTGCCGGCGCAGATCCCGGGCCAAAGATCTGCCCAGCCGAGATCTCGGCGGGGCGGTCGGCTGCTTCCCCCGGCCTGGAAGGATCGACCGGGAGCTGCTCAGAGAGGAACTCGTGCACCTCGAGGCGGTAAGGAGTGTGGAAGCCCGAGCAGCCCGAGTCGATCAAAGAAGGCGATCTGGTGGAGGTGGGCGGGGAGCTTCCTCTCATCCCGATGTTCTTGGGCCTTGTGTAGCATATCCTCCCCCCTGGCTTGGAGAATGGGGAAACAGAGGAGCAACAAGGGATGGGATGAGAAGAGATAAATGCTGCACGGAAAGAAGAATACAAGAGGGGCCGAGATAGGGAACACAGTGTTTGTTATGGCCCTCCTTATGCATATCCTCCTATCCTCCTACTGCGAATCAATCGTACCCGCTTTTCCCACGATCGTTATCACAATCAATGCATGGCTGGGACAGTGGAGGGGGGGGGGGGGGGGCGATGCGCTTGTGGGCGGCGGGAACTACGGAGGACGCGCGGGGCAAGGGGGGTGAGTCGGGAACAGGCGGAGGTTGAAAGTCATGGGATAGCGCGCTGAGGCAAAGATCTAGGAACCAAAAGATACCAACAATGCTACATCCCAGACCTCTCCCGGAATGCTTTCCGACCCGGATTTCGAGGCGAATCTAGCCGTGGCGACGAAGAACGTGGGAACGTGTAACGAAATCGGTTCCGTTTTCGTCCTCCGGAAGGAAAGGGAAAACCCAACCATGCAATGGCAAGTGCTGGGCAGGGAGCCAGAATGAAGAGGGGAGCCGTCTCCAGATGAGATGCAGGAGATGAGCGAGCAACTGGTTCTTGAACTGATATCGGGGGGGGGCGAAGGGTCAGGTCAGGTCAGGTAAGGCATGAATGACCGCGAAGGGCGGCCAATTAGGGCGCAGGCGGGGAACAGCTGTAGTGATAGCTACCTGCATTCTGCGTGCCAGCTCCAGCGGGAGGCGTCCTGCGGGGACGAAGGGGAAGATAGCAAAGGGTAGGGTAGAGAACTAGCCTACGTAGCTGGTTTGCCTGGCGCCTCCTGGAGCCGTGAGCCGCCCATGCATCGAGGAATGGGCCGGCGGCGGGGCGGGAACAGGCTGCATGCAACACATTTCGTACCCTCTCCTTTCCCTATCCTGCCTTTTCGTCTGGCCGCCCCGATGATAAGGGGGGGGTGGGGGGGAGCAATCACGCCTTGCCGTTTTGGGGCACGCCATGAACTCGATTGACAGTTGTCGGGGTTCAGGAGGGCCCCCGTTCGAGCGGAAGGGGGGGCGTCCGACCTCATTCACCCACAGCCTCTGGTGGAATCTGAGCCTGGAGACGGATCTGTGTTCGTGGGGGCCCTAGTGGCCAAGGAAGTGGCCGAAGAGTGAAATGCCAGTTGCCTCCTGGCCTTCGCCTTCCCCCATCGCCCGAAGATGACGCCCCTGGCTGAGAGGGCTGTCTGGCAGAGAGTGTCCTCGAGCTGCAGAAGGTCAACATCCAATCCCGATGACCAAGCCACGAAGCTGAGCGACTCACCAGAGCCACGCTCGAGGCCACGTCGTCGGGATCGTCCACCCACGAGGTGCTGTCCGGATCACCTGGCTTTGGCTCGGTCTGGCTAGCTGGGGCCCGTCTGCCTAGAACTGTTGAGAGGACATCCCGCTACTACACAATACTCGGGCTGGGTTCCTTGCCCCCCATCGTGTAAGTGACAACAACTATACACATAAACCGATCCAGGCCAGGCCAACCCGGATTCCGGGATCGCTGCAAGTGCACGCTGTCCTGGCCCGCCCTGGGTCTGGGATCGCTGGAAGTACACGACTTCCTGGCTCAGGCTTACACATGCAATTGTACACGGATCCTGTCAGGCGTTGTTCGTAGCCCAATTCTTGACTGGGGCCACGAAATATTTGTTCGCCAGGCAGTGAGCGGCGTTGAGAATGGTAAAACCCATCGGAGAGCCTTGCTTAAACGAGCGTGAAGTCCAGTGAATGGCAATGACCAATGCAGCCTTTGATATGAATGAGTCTGAGAGATGGAGTTGCGGTGCTGGCACCCGTTGTGTGTGTGTGTTTACTTTCCCCAATCAGTGCTTGCACTCAAAGGAGTCCTAGCGGAGATTGAAAGAATTGGCGAAAAACCCGGGCCGATTTCGGTAGGCGGCCTGGTTCCCGGGTTCCCCGTTCGGGGCTCCCGGGTTCCAGGTTGCTGGTTCCAGACCGATTTTGGTGGGCGGCGGGGTTCCCAGGTTTCCGGGTTCCCGGCTCACCATCGATCTCATTACCCACCTCTCTATCGATCTCACAATCGATCTCACAGTCGATCCCACTACAGATCGCCGAGCGATTCCACGATCGACCTCACTATCGATCTCACTGAATCGACTTCACTAACTATCGGTCTCACGATCGACCTTACTATCGTCCTCACAATCGATCCACTGTCGATATCACTATGGATCTCAAGGTCTATGCCACTAATATTCTAATAACCATCCACCGATTGGGTTCTTCTTTGGTGCGATTACAGTGTACTGCGGTTGCCAGCTGCTACGGGGCAGACACCTACAACGATCAGGACACTGGTGGCACTGAGAGTGTTGAAGGCTGCGATGGCGACGAGAAACGCATGAGACACCCGCCCCTTCCCCGTCCCGACTCTGCCACTCCCCAGACCCTGGCCATCGCTCGGACGTCCACTCCCCGTGTTTTTGCTAGGTTCCGTGAGTGGTTTTTTCGCCAAATGATCAAGGATGCTCCTCGATGGTCCTCGCCGAAAGAAAAATGCACACGTCCGAGCGATGCCAAGGACCTCGCCGGAGGTGCGTTCTGACCAGAGAGTTTCGACAAGACTCCCGCCGTGGCGACGAGGGGCTCCCTGGAGGCCCAGCAGAAGCGAAAGCGTGGGAGTGTCAGCAGTAGCGGTATACCTCTCCCCCCTCCTGGCCTTTTTCAGAAACCGGCATCAGAGCCCTACCCCCACCGACCATCGATCCTCCTGCAGCGATCGGGGGCGGGGGTAGGATCGAATATCGCCACACATGTTCGGCGCACTCCGAACCCTGACGCCGCCGCCGATGCAGATGCCTGACTTGGGGAAACCAGAAGGCACCGATACCGCTACTCCAGGGACCTCTCATGGGGTGCGTTATGGGCACCTTTTCCTCCTCTGACGAGCCGCCTGAATCGCTGGTCGGCCAGGGCAGATCCCAGATTTCGCCGCCGACCCCCGCCGCTCCACCCCGAGCCGGTCGCCCCAGGTGTCGCACCACCGCGGGACCACGGCGCCTGCCCGGTGCCGAACCGGCCCCTCCGGCGCCAGCGGGTGCAGCCAGGCGCAGCCGGCCGGCCGCGCCTCCGGGGGGAGGCGCTGGAACCTGTCGCGCCAGTACTCCTCGGCCGCCCGTGGCCGCAGCAGCGAGGGCCGGCGGCGCGCCAAAGGGGGGAGGTGGAGGGGCCAGGCCTGCTCGGAGGCCAGGCAGGGTTACCTACATGGCGGTGCTCCCCCCTCCCCCCTCCCCCCAGCCCCCCTGTCCCAACCGCCTTCTCAAGCAGTGCTGGGCCGAAGAGGCGTGAAAGGGAGTCCCAGCCTGCGCAAATTCCCACTGTCCACCCCCTTCACCGCTCCATGCAAGTAGATCAACCTGGTAAGAGTCTAAAGAACAGGGTGGACACCGCGAGTGGTCCGAGAACCCGACCTTGAGCGGATCTAGGCCGGGCGCGAAGGGCCGCCGCAAGCTCAACTGGAGCTCCCCGCAGGCCTCATTTCGATCCAACTGGTCCGACTCGCGGAGGAGGGGAGACGACGAAGCGGAGGAGGGGAGAGGGCAACGACGAGTAGGAAGGAGCGGTGGAGAAGCCGTCGGGGCCTCGCCTGATAGGCCCTAAGACCCCCAGCCTCGGGAGAAGGCTGCAGAAGCTGCCCGGCAGGCCGGAGGCTTGCCGTCTCTGCCTTCCCGCCTGGCCGCCCTGTTGAGAAGTCGGGCTGGGTGGGGGCAGGATCAGACAGCATCGGATCGGGAGATCGGATTGGATCGGCATGTGAGCGTCGGACCGGGCTGCGTCGTGAAGGACGCGAACTCCGATCGGATCGGCTGCGCAAAGGTGCACAACGAGGCCATCCGGAATCGGAGCAGCTCGATCCTGCCAGAAAACATGTCGGATCGGATCGACCGGGAAAAGTGGACCCGGTTGGAGGTCGGGGTGGCGCTCTCTCCTTTCGGTGGCTGGCGCTCTGCTCCAGAAGCCAAGGGGTGCACAGGGCGCGCCCAGAGAAGGGCCACGGGCCGAGCGCATCAGCCCTCCAGGCAGCGAGGTCGCCGTGAAAGCTCGGAAGGGCGGGCGGACTACTCTCGGCGGGCGCAGCCGAAATTAGTTGATTGGCGTGGCTGCTGCACAGATCGAACAGGAGAGAACAACCGAATCCAGAAAGTTTTCGAAGGGCTTCGCGGACCCCCACGGTGGAGACTCTGGCGCCGACACCAGCCATCCTGTTGTTCCGGGCTCCACATCGAGCCGCATCGACGACGATGCATCGGCGATGCGGAGCGATCCTTCGACCCCGTCTACTCGGATCCCGCTTGGAAGGTCTTGAGACTTTCCCTGCCAGAAATGGCAGTATGGGTCCCCCCCCTCCTCTGGGCATGGACTTGTACAAACATGTCTGCAGAAATCCATAACTTCCGCCCGGGGACCGATGCTCGGAGACATCGGAAGGCGTTGGATAGGGAATGTTTGCCCCCCCCGACCCACCCACCCCAGGGCCCGAATCTGAAATCTGAGCCTATTTGCTGCCTACCGAGGGCTCCCAAGACCCATCCTCCAGGCGGTGGCTACAGTAGGCACATACAGCCAAGATCCGTCCACAAGAAACCCATCGCAAGAAACCCAACCCTGAAGGGCGCCGAAGTTTCTAGGGCTGGGCTTCTTGCTCAGCTGCTGCCGGCGAAGAAACTCAGGGCACCCTGGGCCATGCGGTTTCTTGATGACTCGCGCACAGCATACAAACGTGGTCGAACCCAAGGCGATCGCGAAAGTAAGATCTGAACCTTGTATGATGTAGTGGGCAAAGAAACTCAGGGCACCCCCCATGCCCCCATGCCCGTCTGTCTCTTGAGCCTTCGGGCGCGCGCACTAAACGCCCAAACTCCCAAGAAGCTGAGGGTGCCCTGCGAGCTGCGGCTTCTTTGCTAGCGATGGGAGCCTCCGATGTGAGCACAAACTACATGAAACCCTATATACCCTGGCAAAATGTAGGGTGTGTCTTGGCATGAGCTCCCACTGTACGATTGGAAATCTGGGAATGAGTATCTAGCAGCAAGTTCGTCGTCGAGCTTTGCGCTTCCTCCCCACGGCCATCGGGGGAACCAGACGCTTCCGTGGGGCACCTGCTGGCATGGTGGATGTCTTGTTTGACGCGCCTGCTGTGCGGGTAAACCCTCAGCCCAGTCTCCATGCAGGAAGGTGCAGTGACCGACGCTGTGCCCGAAAATCTGTCCGAGTTGGACAGGACCTGGCACCCGAACTTTTCCGCCCGCGCCCAAGCGTTACCGACATTCATGGTCCGAGACCAACACGGTGCTCGATTTTGGCCACAATGTCCGTCACACTACGCCGTGCCAGGGGATATGCCGACCCCTATCCCAGGCTGATACACCAAGGGGGCGTGCATCCAGGATTTGGGGGTGCATCCAAAGAGCGGCGAAACTTTTGGGGCGAAACTCGGGGATAGGGTAAGGCTGCAACTGCTGGGAGGTTTCGTCGGAAGAATTCAAGTATATTAGTCTGGGGACTAAACGGGATTAAGCCGGATTAAACTGAATGAAGCCAGATGCAACGGGATCGGGCCGGATTAACCCGTATTCCAGACCAGGGCATAGTCAGAATTTAACCCACCAGGAGTTGCATCCAAACTTGGGGTGTATCCCCGAGTGCCCACATTCTTCTGAGAGGCCACACTTTTCGGGCAGAACTCGTGGATTCTTGGGGGCTAAATCGCCTGCGACGAGAAGTGCCGGGCGCTGCGAAAACCATCGCCTCGGCACGACGACGACGATGACGGCGGACGACGGACGACGACGACGACGGACGACGGACGACGGACGACGGACGACGGACGACGGACGACGGTCGACGGACGACGACGACGACGACGACGACGACGACGACGACGACGACGACCCTCCTCCGTGTCGCCCAGGCCGTGCAGCCACACCACCGCGCACGTGGCCGGCGCGCCCTGTCCGGGCACCGAGCCGGCAGGCCTCGCCGCCTATGCGAAGAACGCGGGGGCCCGCTTCCCGCCCCGCCTCCCTCCTCCTCCTCCTCCTCCTCCTCCTCCTCCTCCTCCTCCTCCTCCTCCTCCTCCTCCTCCGCCTCCTCCTCCTCCTCCTCCTCCCCCTGCTCCTCCTCCACCTCCCCCTCCTCCGCCTTCTCCTCCGCGTTCTCCTCCTCCTCCGCCTCCTCCTCCTCCTCCCCCTCCTCCTCCCTTCTGATCGTGATGGTGCAGGGGCGAAGGGACGCGTCGAGGCCAGGACTGACTGGCCTGACCTCCACGTCTGGCCTGCTCTCAGTCATGCCGTTTCGGAAGCGGCGGTCACCAAAAATGAAGGGTTGTCCAAAGGGCCCTCGCCTTTTGCACCTCTTGTGGCCCGGTCTGCCCAATGGTGGCCACTTCGGACTTCGGGAAGTTCCCTAGCGTTCGAAAAGCGTGGCCATCGCTCCTTGGGTCGTGAAAGGCAGCTGCCTCGGATCCTTCGGGGCCGTCATCCCAGCAAGAGAGGGTTTGTCGTGTCTCGCACCCTCGTGGCTTCGGACAGGGCACGCGACTTTTTGGCGGGTGCGGTGGGCCTGGACGGCTCCTGTAACGGCCGCCGCCCCTATGGTTGTGCATATCATGACAATGGACACTCTAACAATCCTATCATTGAATTAAACATGTTTAAAACGTGTAAAGCATGTTCTAAACATGTTTAAATCATGTTTTTTACATGTTTAAAACATGCTTGAAACATTTCTAAGACATCTGGAAACTATTTGGCAGCACGCTTCCTCTCCATTCATCGACTTCCACAACCCTATGGTGGGCAAGGGTCCGCTCCACGTGACGGGCCCTAGAGTGGCCCGTGTCCGTGTCCCGCGGCAATGCCCCAAAAGGGCTCCGACGTCTGCTCCTATGATCCTGGGGACGCCCGGAACGATCAGCAAGAAAAAACAGTCGGACTTGATTTGGCAGGACACGCGAAAGGACACAAGACCCTTCCGAGCGCCACATTGCCATAGGGATGCAGGAGGCATGGGTCGCGAGACACAGGGCACAAGGGAACCCTCGATTTGGCAGGGTCGACCTACTAATCCGAGCCGACTGTATCCCCTGCCACGACGATGCTCGCGGAAGCCTTGCGCCATGGCGAGTAGGCCGCTCGATTGCGCCCGCAGACACCTGCGGAGCAAATGCAAACTACCTGAAAGATGATAGGGTGGCAAAAACACAAAACACATTGAATCATTCCGCCATCCCCCTTCCAAATATGAAGACGATGTAGGGGCACTGGACGGCTGGCAGGGAATACGAGTGGACACTGGACGGCCCAGACAGGAGAGAAGTATAATCAATATTAATTTGCAATGGCTGTTACAAGACATGAAAGGTGGAGGACATGTGGTGTACCTCCGTTAGTTGTGGTGGGCTGATCACGAAAGTGTACATAGGGGGGTATACGTGTAGGTGTTTTGCAAATGTGTGACAAAACACATCTACACCATATTTAGATTGCCCATCCTCCTTATCTCTTGGCAAGGCGTCGACATTGCTCACAGACGTGAAATCCTGGGGGACTCCTTACAGCCCGCAGTAGCGGGGTGATAGCGGGCGCGGCGGCGGCATTGAACGCCAGAGGTTCGGGGCTTCTGCGGGGCGGCCATTCGGCTGTTGCCTCCTTTTGCCAAGGCGAGAATCGACGAATCCTCCGTCAGCTTATGGCCCTCCTCCGCTGGTCCGCCGACCCCTCCCAGGCCTTGCATCTCTCTGTCTGCATCTTCTGGCGGGGGGGGAGGGGGGTCGGGCGTTCATCTCGTGAGAGGTCTTGCTCTCTTTGGGTTCGCCTCCCGTGAGGAGGCCGAGTCTCTCGGGGTTGGAGCGCGCGAGCGCCGCCGACAAATTGCACCAACTCCTGAAGACTCCGAGCTGGAACCCGTGAGTTGCGTTGCATGTAGTATTGGGTGGCGCATTTCCCTCCTACACCCTCCTCCTCCTCCTCCTCCTCCTCCTCCTCCTCCTCCTCCTCCTCCTCCTCCTCCTCCTCCTCCTCCTCCTCCTCCTCTCTCCTCCTCCCTCCTCCCTCCTCTCCTCCTCCTCCTCCTCCTCCTCCCTCCTCCTCCTCCTCCTGCTCCTCCTCCTCCTCCTCCTCCTCCTCAGTCCTCCTCCTCCTCCTCCTCATCCTGCTCCTCCTCCCCTGCTCCTCCCTCCTCCGCCCTGCTCCTCCATCCTTTCTTCCCCCTCCCTCCTCCTCTGCTCTCCTCCTCCTCCTCCTCCTCCTCCTCTCCTCCTCCTCCTCCTACTCCTCCTTCTTTCTTCCTTTCTTGCTCCCTCCTCCCTCCTCCTCCTCGCCTTTTCTCCTTCTCCTCCTCCTCCTCATCCTCCTCCCCCTCCTCGTCCTCCTCCTCCTCCTCCTCCTCCTCCTCCTCCTCCTCCCTCCTCCCTGCTTCCTCCTCCTGCTTCCTCCTTCTGTTCTGCTCGTCGGCGAGTTGCGCAGCACCCCCGCGGTGAGAGCGGGCGAGACGCCGAGAGACAGGCAACACAACACATCCAGCGCGCTGCATATACTTCTGCTGCCGGTCGAGGCGCGCCTCGGGCACGAGCAGGCTCCCCCGAGCTATAGATCTAAGAAGGCACAGCCCGAGGACCGGAGCCGCACACGCGCGCGCCCAGAGGGACCCAAGATGTAGGGGGGCGCCGCCCCAGTGGGACGGCATGCCCCAGAGATGGGCTCACAAGGCCCAACGTCGGCTTTTCTCGACCCCTCCGACTCCGACCCCCCCTCCTCCACCAACTTTAACTGTGATTCCACTCAGTGCTTCAGTGGTTATCAAAGTCGAAGGCGGGACGAGGACACGCTCGAATGAGAAAAAAGCGAGTGTCTCTGACAGCTGGTGCGCCTGCAGGATGCATCGAGCGACGCGGCCGTGACCAAGAGTTTCGGAATGCTCTGGATGCTTCTTGGTACTCTCTGCACGACTCATCCTCATCATAGGCGGTGTGCATGCAAGCGTGCCTGAATCCTTCATCTTACCACCAAAAACAAGTCCTGACGGAAACGGGTCCTGGACCCCCAGGGCTTCTCCCCCAGAGCCGATCCTGCCAATACGTTGGGAATCTGGCGTCCTCACATGAAGACACGACGACGCCATAGGGGAAGAATGGCAGGAAGATCAAGAAGCGTAGTGATTGTTTCATTAGACGCTGACCTCGAAAAGTCTAGACCGCTTCCCCAGGATCGGTTCTTCATTCCGAATCGTTTTCAGGCGGCCCTGGGGCCGGGTGATGGCCCTGGGAAGCCGAATATGGGGGGAAGCGAAAAGAGTCAGGACTTCTCAGAAAGCGACGCGGCGTATCATAAGCCCTCGGGCCTTCTGAGAATGCTTGGAAAACTTCTGGGAAGGCTGGAAGCACTCCGAACCTTCTGAGAAGGCCAGCACCCTCTGCATTCCCATCCAGACTCGCCGGCCGCCACTTTTTCCACAGCGAGAGGAGTCTTTCAGCAAAGACCGTCGGTGAGGGCACCGACCCAAAAGGGAAAGGTAACTAGCGTGGGATGCGAGGATGATGTGTTGAAATGAAGATGTTGGGGAACCTTGCCGTTGTGCGCTCCTTTATGCCCTTGCGGCTTCTCCACTTGTCTGCATCTCTTTGCTCATATTGTTCTTAAGTGGCACGCCCTGTTTGCTACACCTGTTTGTTGTCACGCATGTTCTCTCCATTTTGTTTGAGGAAGTCGCGTGCGTTCAGACGCAACGGTCATCCAGCCAGTGTCGGCCTAACGTTACTAAAATGCAGGTGAATAACACACGACGTCGGATTTGTTCACCGATGCGCGCGCACGCTGGTGCGAGGCGGCGAAAGGAAACGGAAATGCGCTTGGGCGAAACGGGTCCCGATGGAAACGGGCCCCGGACCCTGGGGCCTGCCCCCAGGACGAGAATTACAGCCCGAGCCGTTTCCGGACAGTCCCAGGGCCCAAGGCAGGGCCCCGATCGGGCCCGAAGACGGCAGGAAGAACCTCGGGATATCCGCTCCCTCGGGACCCGCTGCCCCCATGGCGAGGACAGAGGTAGGAGAGTGGATGGGGGGCGGCAAAGAGGGGGGCGTCCAAGAGGGGGGGGTGCAAATCATGGCCGGCGGCATGTGCGCGGCCCATGGGGGGGCCGGGGACGTATTGAAATAAGAAGAGGCGCCATGAAATCTGAGGAAAAATCATGGCCCACACCATGATATCCACCCCCCCACGTCCTCACCCCCCTCTTTTCCGCCCCCGAGGGGAGAGACCCAGACATCCGCCGGCATGATTGTTGCACTCCGCGGCCCCACATGACCCCTGCACCGGGGGCGGCTGCTCCTCCCGGATCCATGTGGGATGGCCCCATAGGGCCCGACAGCGGGCCCCCGGAAGCGGAGTCCAGGAGAGAACGCCGAAGTGAAAAAGTCATACCGTCGGGGCGTTGACCTAAGGAACCCTAAATAAGGAACGAGGCCCCTTTTTGTCCATAAGATCTACTTCTATTTCCCATGGAAAACCTCAGGAAAACCGGTGGCAAGCTGCAAAACGATCGAGGAACACCGAGCCCCTCCCCAACGAGAAGGGTTCCTTCTTCAGCGCCCCGACTGTACCCTCGGATATCTGGGGAGTGGAAAAGGGGGGTGAAGCACGTCTTTCGGGAGAGGCCAAGAAGAGGGTGCCCAAGAGGGGGGGGTGCAAATCATGACCGGCGGCACGTGCGCGGCCCAGCGGGGGGGCCAGGGACGTAATGAAACCAGAAGAGGCGCCATGAAATCTGGGGAAATATCATGGCCCCCGCCATGATATCCACCCCCCCCTAGTCCTCACCCCCCTCTTTGCCGCCCCCCGAGAAAAGGGGGGTGAGACACTTTTTACGTCGCAGCGCGGCAGGGGTACTCCGCACGCGCCCCCGGGCAAGCCGGGTGACGGCATCGCTCACTGTCCGGCGGCAGGGGCGAGAGAAGGGGCGGCTGCGGGGCGGGAGAAGGGGGGGAGGGCGCTCCCGCGGCGGGAGCTGCTGCGGAGCGGCCGTGGCGAAGGAGGGTGACACACCCTGACTTTCCAGAGTGCTGGAAAATAACCGAGTGCCCCGGATAAAAATGCCCCCCCTTAAGCCCTTCTATCTTTTTTATCCTGGTTCAATCGGGCTAATTGTGGAGAGGGGCGCGCAGGCGGAGGCGGAACTTGATAATCCACGGGGGAAGTTGCGAATCGAAGTTGTTATCATCTCATGTCGACTGGTTACAGAGTCAAAAACGCTGGACATGGCCATGGTGGTCTCACCATATCAGCTTCCGCAATCACGAGCGTGCGGCAGGGCTGTGGGATTCTCGCCAGTTCAGTTTGCCCAAGTCACGAACGTGCGGCAGGGCCATGGGATTCTCACTTTCTCAGCCGTTCCCGAATCAGGAACGTGTGGCAGGGCCATGGGGACCGATTGGATTTTGATGTTACATGCGATTTTCTTCGAGCAGGCAGAGCATGCCAAAGGGTGCCGAGCCCGCATGGGCGAGTGGCTTGAGGCCGTGCGCAAGAGAGGTTTCTTGGCCAGAACGGCCAAGGACCTCTCTTGCGCAGGCAATTTGTAGCCTCGAGATCTGACGAGTCAGTCTTGTGCCAAGATCTACAAGGTCAGTCTACACGAGCGCCCAGGATCACCATCATCATCATCATCATCATCATCATCAGCATCATCATCATCATCGTCATCATCATCATGATCATCATCATCATCATCAGCATCATCATCAGCAGCATCATCATAATCAGCACCACCATCATCATCATCATAACATATAACTAACATCACCTTCCCTGGGAATATCGTTGATTATCCCCGCCAGACCCCCGAACTTTATTACCCCTGAGTGATTATTATCCGGGGCACAGGGTTATCAGAAACCAGATCTACAGACCTTCCTGGACTGCCTAAAACCTCCTCGGCGAAAATATGGATGTCGAGGTCCTGGTGCTATTTTTCAACCCTCCTAGAACGACGGGGAACTTGGCTGCTAATTCTGGGGACCTTCATCGAGCCACTCGCTCCCCACGTGCGTCGAAGCTCTGCGAACGTCCGTCGATTCGAGTCGACCTTTTGCTCCGCACCTGAGTCGAACCGGAGTCGAACCTGAGTGGAACTTGTGCCGAACTGGGGTCGCTCTGGGGTCTCACAGATCTGTCAGGTAGGCCCCGGGAAGGACCCCCCCATGGGAGCATCGCTGGGCCTGCCGTCGCTCGGCCGCCCATGTCCCGTGCATTCGTCGGTTTCGTGCGTGTTCTTTTTTTTTGTTGCTCGATGGTCCAGGATGGTCCTCGGTGGTTCTCGCCGAGAAGAAAATGCACGCGTCCGAG